ATATAGATATAGATATAGATATAGATATAGATATAGATATAGATATAGATAGATAGATAGTTATAGACATATAGACATAGTTGACATATAGATATGTTTGTTTACTTGAATAATTCCAGCGAGTCGATCTTTTGTACTTTATAGTTGGAAACTCCCTCTTCACTGACGTGAACCGCAATACGTACTAATATAAGTAGGAGACAAAAGACGATAGGCAGTAACACCTCAACAAATAGTTGGATTTTATGGCTCCATTGCAGAACCCAGTTTTTCCATAGCAAAAGCTTAAATTTGGTCCAGCTTGAAACTTTTTCCATAATGCCTTATCCCGTCATATCCTGATATTATCTAAACGTGCCTAAGCTGAAGAAAAATATTAAATTGATATCAGTAAAAATTCAATTAGCCATTGCTTAAAACTAGAGGTTAAGAGCACTTTGACTCAAGACTTAATGTCAAGTGGTAAGTTGTTTTCGGTTGATTTCCTGATAATTCTCCTTCTCTTAAGGTCACGTGTGCCCGTAGCCCAAAGTATACTTTATATTCGATTAGATTGCGTTAAAATCATTTTTGCAGCTATCATTTTTTCGTATGCTTCTCTAAATACATACAACCCGGATATTGAAACCAGAATGATGATCAGATGGAAAAAAAAATACTGCTTTCTCGCATAGTGATAACAAATTGTCCCTATACATGATAAAATTGAAACAATATGGTATATATGCAATTATTTATGACGTTCGTCATGAGTTTCCAGGAACATGTGCTGCTCGCACTAACTATTGGTTCGATTGATAAGATAACACTAAACTAAAGTTCCGAAAGGGCAGAATATCAAATCATGCCATTAATTAATTATCGATTTCTGTATTCTAAGCGACGCCAAATTCGATCCGAATTTAGCTATCACCTAAAAGGTAACCGTTTTACAGAGTATCTATTGGTCTATCAATTGTAAAAGAGCAGAGTAGTAATATATAATATATTTTGTTGAAATCAACGCATTACAGAATTGTCCTTCTGAAGAAAGCGAAAACAAGTCGGGTGTATGAAAACGAAGTATACTTAGATGCAACTAAAACAAGTGTGAGCTAAATGTTGATTGAGCGGGCAATGTTAGGTGATTGTTTGAAGTAAATGAGTTTCAAATAAATGATGATTACTTCAGACCCAACTAATATGATAATCTTGATTATATTGTTATTATTAGATGATAATTATACCTTACACTTGTACCTAGGAAAAGCCTTGGGAGATGTCAAGCGTACCCATAAATTCTTGGGTCACTATATATAATGCCCGCTCATAAAATGAATAGAGTATATTAATTATAAACAATCTGTCTTTTTATACCCTAAACCCATTGAAAGTGGGAAATCATGGTATATTGGTTTTGTTAAAATATATGTAACAGGCAGAAGGAGGCGTGGCAGACCCCACATGGTATATATATTCTTGATCAAGGAGACGAGCTGAGTCGATTTGGCTCTGTCCGTCTGTCCGTATATTTGAACGCGTCGATTTCAGAATATATAAAAGCTTGATACTTCAATTTTTGTAAATGTCCGTATACATAGCGCGCATAACGAGTTTATCTCTAAAAATCGATAACGCATTCCGTTACTTTGTTATCGATAAAAAGCCTTATCGAAAATCAGTTTTAAAATTATGCCTCCTACATCTTTAAAGCTAGAGTCTCCAAACTTTAAACATATATTAAGATGCATATTTATACTATTTTTGTTACCATCATATTTGTAAAAAGCGTATTTCAAATACTAGATACTTGTGCTTCGGTATATATGTACATATGTACATTTGAACATTGTGATTACTAGAGCTGGAGAGCCATCGATAGAGATGGTACTCGATAGTTTCCCAACGATGGTTTAAACCATCGATATTATCGATGGCTCCATCGAAACTGTATTACATGTATTGCAAATTAAATACATATTCACATACTATGTATGCTAGAGCTTAACAAAGCCGGTACATTCAGTCCAGTTTTCTTGAAAATACACAACAAACCGTTTCTATCAGTTGCTTAATAAAAAGAAGTATAAAACATATCAAAAATCAAATGATCCATTTGCTTTCAAATCCTACTACATATAATAAAGCCTAATATTCTTGATCAGCTTCATGCTCCATCCATTGATTTTTGTTTATAAAAATGATTTGGTTAATATGCTGATGGGTGGTTTTCTCAATATTTTGCACAAATGGGTGGACTCTTCAAACAAAAAGTTTTGTTACTTGAGCGGTATTCTTTGCAGTAATGTCGACATCTGGTAAACACTTTTTTTTAAGCGGGTAAAATGAGACCAAACTTCCATTTTTTGTTGCTCGTGATCGGTTATGGGAGCGAATTATTCAACAAATAAATTCTCATTATATTGCCAAGTCTGCAGCGCAGCCCAAGCGCAGTCGCCTGTGTATGTGAGTACGTGTGTGTGCGTGCGCGCGTGTGTTTGTGTGTGTGCGTGTGGGTGTGTGTATGTTGCTTGGAGGGTTCAGGGGATCTCGCAGTCGAGCAGTCTCGACTAGAGCTTTCTTACTTGATTATGTATATATTGGTCTACGTATAGCTGTCTATCAGTCAAAGCTCTCCAACGTTTTTCGCTTATAAAAACCATTCTGGTCTTTAGAACAAAATATTAATTTAAGAAACAAAAACGTTTCTAAAACTCGAATGCAAAGAGAAAATAAGCAAATATATATGTATATATTTATATAGAAATATATTTCTTGGCTATTGTTGCTATGAAATCTTCAACCTAATCTGAGCATTGATAAGATGTTAATACAAATTTCAAATTTAATTTTAAAACATGACTTTGTTGGCAAAAAATATCAATAGATTTAAGAAAAATGTGAAGGTATTATTTTTATTTATTTTATTTAATTTATTTATTATTTAATTTTTAAACTAAATAACTACTAATATGATAGGTATATGTATTTTTTTACTCATTCAGTATATTGGTTATTTGGCCTGCTGTGTATCCGTCCGCTTGTCTGGTTTTCTGTAAAAACGCTAGACTTGAAATTGGGAGCACACAATCGTGTATTATTCTGAATTTATAAAGTGTTAAAAATTCCCCGATCCATTCTCTTGGGGTGTGATGGATTGGAAATGCATTTTACGATATGTCAGAAATCATATTAGTTGAAGACCTATAAAGCTGAAATTGTACAATGTAGATTCACGTTGATCAGCCAAGATAAAAAAGCTATTGCGGATACGCCCCTTAGAAGCATGGCAAACCGGGTATAACTGTATGTCCTAGAGTTTCAAACCTAAACGAATTTAAAACGAAAAACAGAAATTTCTACAGTATTGGAGCTAGAAACTCAAAACGTATCTTCCAAATTAATTTGCATAAGGGAATATATATGTACGTATGAATATATTTTTAGATGTATGTATATACCTATTGAGAGTGTAACAATTCAGAAAATGGGATGTGAATGAGTATTCTGCAGTTGGTAACGCCCGACTGCAACTTTCTTAGTCTATAGCATCAATTGCATTGTTGAGATTTCAGATTTAAATTATATGGTTTCAACACTTAATTACTTGATTAAGTAAAGAGTTTTGTCAATCGCTTATAATACAAAATACTAAAGAATCCTTAATATCTGATTTATCACCCATAACTTTAGGCAATTTTAAAAATATGCTCTGAATTAATTAAGTTTTTCTTCTCTGGCATGCCATTAATTATTATATCATTTATATTAGTTGAAGAGCTAGAAAGCTGAAATTTGGAATGTAAATACGCATCAACCACCCAAGATCACGTGCTATGGCGGATATATCTACGCCCATTAGGGGCGTGGCAAATCGGACAAAACTGTATCTCCGTTAAAATTTTGCACGTGAGCTAATGCTATGGTTCTATAAAGATTGATGATAAAATTATGTCTACGCCTTAAAGGGGCGTGGCAAATCGGACCTGAAGATATAGTCATTTTTCTAATTCTGTTATATTTTGAAAACTATTGATGCTAGAGACCCTTGGTATATATACTCGGGGTGACCTCCCAAAACCAAACAGTTTTGGTGGATATATGTCCGCCCACAGGGGGCGTGGGAAACCGCAAAAGTTAATATCTCCTAAAGTATAAGAGCTAGAAGCTTCAAATTTAGATTGTTGAATTACTACTGATAATTCTTTCATTTTTTTGGCGTAATCATCCAAATTCTGCAGCTAGGTTACGGTTAGCGTGTTCCATGAGCTGGCCAAAAATAAAGTATCTACGCCTAGAATGGAGAAAAACTGAACTTTCTACAGTATTAGAGCAAAACTTGGCTATTAAATTGCTGATGGGGTGTGAATGAGTATTCCGCAATCGGTAACGCCTGACTGTCACGTTCTTACTTGTTATACCCTGAACCCATTGAAAATAGGAAATCAGGGTATAATGTTTTTGTGAAAAAGTATGTAACAGGCAGAAGGAATCA